CAGCTGCTGCAATCCCTGCTGCCAGTCCTGCTGCTGATGAACCCAAGGAGCATCTGCACAGCCATGCTCTGTGGAGAGCTGACCTGCCCTAACTGCAGAAACCCATACCTTAACATTTGCTGAACACCTTCAGGTTCTCCCCAGGAAACCTGACAAATGCAAATTCTCACTTAGGTGTGGGAAATGCTTTGAGAAAGGATGGAGTCCCTGTCCCTCACTCTCCTCATCTCCAGAGATTATGGATCTTGTGCAATCTTCATAAGGAGCTGGTGTGAAGGTCTGGTATCAGTTTAGGATCTGAGCCGAGATCTTCATATCTCTCAGGAAATAACTTATGAAAACACTACCCCCAAAATTAAACTTCATTTAACCAGTTATCTTCTCAACTGTATTTTCTTCTGAGTTACCGCCAGATTTTTGTTTACTACTTTCTTCTTTCTGCTCACTTATGAGTTGTGCCCCAGAAGCAAAGAATTTAATAAAATCTGTGCTATCATCATTCCAGATTGTCTGTCCTATTATTTTGATAAATCACTTAATGAAAAATTTACATAACCAATAGAATTTAAAACACTAAACATGGTGCACTTTGTCAGCGACACTAAGCATGGTATTAAACAATAGATCCATGGAAGGTTTATCTCTGGAATAATTGAAATTGAATATCCAATGATCACCATCTTCCTAGATCCTCCATCTTCAGTGCCCATAAACCAAGAGTCTGCTCCCTCCATTTATTACTGACTTTCATAAACATCATATACTAATGCCTTTTCTGTCATATTTTCTTTATCATTTGCTTTCAGTAGGCATCTAAGTTTCAGCCACATCAGTTGTTACTGGGATTACCATAAATCTGGGAGTGTCCATATCACTTAGTGGTTCTGATGACAACAGTGGCATTTGCTAGAATACAGATGAAAATGAGATTGTCCTAGTGAGTGAAATTAAGCAAACACAAAAGACAAACTATCAACCACATACTCTCATTTGCAAACCCACGATTTTACCCAGAATTTTCAAATCCTATAGATAGTGAGAAAGGGAGTGACTAGTCAGAGGAGGGGCTATGGAGAAGCAAATATCATTAAAATACATGAGTATATGATATACTTGATGGGACTTTGAGATTCCTTGACTACATTCGATAAATGGGAACAATTAAAAGTTTTAAATAATAAGACTCTGATATCAATTAACCTGAGCAAATATCCTGAGACATGGCTGATGAGTTATAACGTACAATTTTTTATTTTTCTGGAGTCTTTGTAATGTTCAGCACACCTGCTAGTCTTCTTAATATTCCCCCTGCTGTGTGAGTGTCCCAGTCTCTGGGCTACAGAGATGGTTCCATGTTAAGAGCTCACAATGGTCTTGAGCGGCATCTGGGTTCAATTCCCAGCATGCACAGAGCAGCTCACAACCACCTGTTATTATAGTCCCAAGGCATCTAATGTCTTCTTCTGACATCCCTGGGCATGTGGTGTACATACATACATTCAGGTAAAACATGTATATACATAAAATAATAAATAAATCATTTCACATTTTAAAGTTTTAAGAACCCAAATTTCTGCACACACTTGTCAACATCTTTTAACTCTTCTCTTTCTGATACTAGAAAGACAACATTCCAACACTGCAAAAGAGACAAAAGGCAGAATGCTATGACATGTAAGTGCTCAAAAGAAACATTAACACATGTAAACATTAGTGTAATGCTGTGAATCTAGTAGCAGACCCTTAACACAATGGCTGTGTGACCTTTTATAACTTTGTGAGCAATTTTTTATTTATTTCTATTAATATAAATTAAATTTGCTTTCCAGCAGTTAGAAACATTATAATATGCATACTGATTAGTCTTACCCCTCACATTCACTTGCTTAATGTGTACCTATCCACTTCATATAAATCTCTTTCCCATACTCATTTTTATTTGTTTTTGCGTGGGACTCTAAGAGTTTAACCAGGGTTTTCCATGTGACTATGGTTTTGGAACTATCCACTGGAGTCTGGTGGTCTCAACAGTGGACACATAACTAAAAACAATGACAATTCCTCTCCCAGAATATACCAATAGCCAATAGTTCAGCAATAAACTGTTGGGTCTCCTGAAACACCCCCCATCTGTCATTGATTACTGACAAGTCCAGTCTTCTCAATAATTAATTAGTGAAAGTAATTGTGGCTCCTTTGGGTAAGTTTATAATACCAAAGATTGTCTTTGACTTACAGAAGAAATATTACACCCTTTTTCCCTATCTTCTAGCTCTCACATTTTTCCTGCCCTTCCTTTTCAATGGGCTCTGAGACTCACAGGGAATCTTATAAATTCCTTCCTCAGTGCCGGGCTATCAATCATTATGGGTTATCAGCATCTTGGGCAGCCATGAGACTGTCCATTCACTATCAATGGATGCAGAGATATTTCTCTAATTAATGCTGAGAAAGAAACATTTGTCCATAGGTATAAACATAGTTATTTATAAGATATTTTGATAGTATGTCAAATAATTTTATCAGCAGCAAGGGTAAGTTCCTCCATCCCGCCTGTGACCTTCCCAGACATTTGTGGTTAAATGGGTTTACAACACCAGGCATGGAGCCTTTACTCTGTAGTATGTCTCTAATATAAGTGAAGGAAATAAATACTCATTACACTGCTACACTGGTGAACATATCTTGTCTGACAAGTGGGTTTTTTAGTTTATTTTGTTCACAGGTAGGAAAGACTATTGATAACCAACACCAACACCACCAGCATCCCAGTAACATCTATAGCTCCTTATGGCACTTTGAAATCTCAGCATAGAAATGTAGCATCCAGCTCAGTTCCAGATAGGCTTTCTGTATAGCTTTTGACCATGGAATATGCTGTCTTCAGCTATATGGTCTTATTCTCTATTTCTGATGGCCAGCCAAGAAGACTAACACAAGTTTGCATTGCTTGGGGGAACCTCTGTCTCACAACAGGTCGACGGCATGTCTGATAATAATACTTGAGATTTTCCTCCCACCCATGAGCACACACACACATACGCAAACACACACATAGTGATGTATGCATGCATGTGTGCATTAATATATACAGGCAACCCATAACAGAGGAGAACAGAGCCCTTTTAACAGTTGGCACTGACAAACTGAGATATCTAATTGTACAAGATTACACAAGATTTTACTAGATCCTTATCCCTCATGCTAGGCAATCGCCAACTTAGAATGGAGTAGACTCCATGGAGCCTCAACTCATTTCTTTGCTCCTAAGTGAATTTGTTTTGATTTTTTAGATGTGTGACTTTAGAATGGAATTCCTGTAGAGACCAGGGAAATAGACAGGGAAAAATGATGTGGAAAGGCTTTAAAAGACAGGAGATGGTAGAACACATAATATGTAAAAGTGGAGAGATAGATTATTGTAGTGGAAATGTCTTAGGAGAGATAGGAGTGTGGGAACAGTGATGAGGGGAGGGTTAATCAAAACTGATGATGTAGTAAAAGCCATTTGGAGACCTACTATTTTGTATGGTAGGTGACAAATATAACAAGAAGGCTCTGAATGGAAGTACCCTGCATGGATAGTTCAGCTCCCAGAAGCTACAGACAACTAAACAAATATCCTAGTACCAGGTATATGATACCATCCTATGAGAAGCCCACAGGTCTCCAAAGCAATGAAAACTATTAGCATTTTTTTATTGCAAAACAGGACCCAGTTAGTAATCCCTACAGCTGAAGACATCATATGATCTGGTTAGGACATACAGAAAAGATGCCAGTGCCGAACTGAGTGTTTGCTTCCTGCTAGTTAGCTTCACAGTACCAGCAGAGTGATTCAAGCTGCCAGGGAGGAAAAATCATCAACAGTCTCATCCAGCTGCAAACCTTGCAAGCTGTAATAACAGCATATCAGGAAAGATAAGATCATTGGCACAATGGTGGCATGAGTATTATGGAAGTAACCAACCAGGTTGTGACCGGGTGAATGTCCTTTCAAAAGAAGAAATTTATGTTTGACAGAAAAGGTAATTCTTCTCCAAAAGCCATGAATGGGGAGCTCATAGGTCCTAGGACACAAACTACACCACATGTCTCCAGTAGCATACACTCAGTCAGGACAGATGGTCACACACATCTCCCCAGAAGCAGACAGTGAGGACATAGAAGCACCCACATCTTCGCTGATGCCAGCTTATTTCTTTTCTTTTTAGGCTACAAAGTAAGAGTCTTTATTTTGTTTTTTAAAATAATGGAAAAAGAATATAAAATATTCACAATAAATGTTAGATTATATAATCAGGTTATATTGGCAACGAACCTTTGTGGATTTCTTTGTTTTGGGCTTTTAATGAAAGCCAGCTTATTTATAAAGTGCTGTTTCATTTATTCTCATCATCTCTGGTTTTACTCTGCTATCAAACACAATTGTTCCAGACAACCTGATATCAAACCATTTTTAATGTGCTCTGATCTGATACAAAGGTACAGGAACTTTTACAGAGATTGGCACCTACCTGGAACAGTTAGGAATTAGGCTTTTTTGGGCAAACAGAGAGAGAATAAGTTGTTGAGTCCATCATTGTGAATACAGCACTCTCATGCCCAGTGACATTTATAACTCTAAGTACAGATAACAGAATAAAGTCCTAAAAACAACTTATTATTGAGTTTCCCTTAGAGACAAGTATGACCAAAGGACCTGATGACAATCAGACTTACATCAAAGTAGATGGGATGAACACTTGAGTATGTACATGTGTTCAAGTAAGCTATGTCCAAATAAGGAATTAATGTTTTCAAATGATTCAGAGCATTACCTGAGAATTTCCTTCTTCATCAACAAACACTAAATATGCAAATAGTAAACAAAGAGGTCAAGTCTTTCTGATTGGCCCACACATTGGAGGCCCATGGCATAAAAAGCCCTGACTGGAAGATCTTGCTTCACTGTTGAAAACTCACCTGTGAACACAGTAACACCCTCCACACCTGATACCATGACCCTCTCCTGCTGCCCACCTTGCTATCAGCCTAGCTGCTGCAAGACCATCTACTGCTGGACTACCTGCTGCCCACCCTGCTGCCCTGATTCCGGCTGCCCCGAATCCATCTGCTGCCTGCCTTGCTGTCCTCCAAGTTGCAGCACACCCTGCTGTCAGTCCAGCAACAGCAGCAACAAAACTGTCAGCACTTGCTCCCAGCCCTCCAACCCACCAACCTGCTGTGTGCCCACCTGCTGCCAGCCATGCTGCCAACCCTGTTACTTAAAGATCAGCTGTCAGCCACCTTGCTGTGAAACCAGCTGCTGCAAGACTACCAGTAGCCAATCAAATAGTGTGAGCATTGGTTGCAGCACACCCTGCTGCCAGCCCTGCTGCCCTGATTCCGGCTGCCCTGAGTCCATCTGCTGCCAGCCATGCTGTCCTCCAAGTTGCAGCACACCCTGCTGCCAGTCCAGCAACAGCAGCAACAAAACTGTCAGCACTTGCTCAGAGGCCTCCAACCCACCAACCTGCTGTGAAAGCACCTGCTGCAAGACCAGCAGTTCCAAGCCAACTGGTGTGAGCATCTGCTGCAGCACACCTTGTTGCCAGCCCTGCTGCTATGTGCCCACCTGCTGCCAACCCTGCTCCTTAAAAATCAGCTGTCAACCACCTTGCTGTGAAACCAGCTGCTGCAAGACTACCACTAGCAAATCAAACTAGTGTGAGCATTGGTTGCAGCACACCCTGCTGCCAGCCCTGCTGCTGTGTGCCCACCTGCTGCCAGCCATGCTTCTTCCAGCTGTGCTGCCAACCAACTTGCTGTGAAACCAGCAGCTGCAAGACCACCTCTTTCAAATAATTGAAATTGAATATCCAATGATCACTATCTTCCTAGATCCTCCAACCTCAGTGCCCATAAACCAAGAGTCTACTCCCTCCATTTCTTACTGACTTTTATAAACAATATTTGGATGAAATCACATATACCAATGAATTTTCCGTCATATTTTCTTTCTCCATTTGCTTGCCAGTCGGCATCTAAGTTTCACACACACCTTATCAATTGATCCTGGTATAAACATAAATATGGGAGTGTCACATCATATGAGGATTCTGATAACATCAGTGCCATTTGCTCGAAAACAGCTGAATACAAGATTGTCCTAGTGAATGAAATAAAGCAAACTCAAAAGACAAACTATCAACCATGTGCTCTCATTTGTAAATCCAAGATTTTACATAGACACTTCAAATCCTATAGATTGTGAGAAAGAGAGTGACTACTCATAGGAGAGCTGTGGAAGAGCAAATATCGTCAAAGAACATGAGTATATGATATACTTGAAGGGACTTTAAGATTCCCTCACTACATTCAATATATGGGAACAATTAAAAATTAAAATTAAAATAATAAAAGATTCTGATGTCATTAACTTGAGCAAATATCCTGAGACATGCCTGCTGAGTCATAAAGTAGCTTTTATTTATTTTTGTGGAGTCTTTGTAATGTTCAGCACACCTGCTATTCTTCTTCATATTCCCCCTGCTATGTGAGAGTCCCAGTCTCGGGGCTAGAGAGATGGTTTCATGTTAATACCACATAATGATCTTGAGTGGCACCTCGTTCAGGTATCAGCATCTACAGAGCAGCTCACAACCACCTGTTATTCTAGTCCCAAGGGATCCAATATCCTCTTCTGACATCCCTTGGCATGTGGTATACCTACATACATGCAGGTAAGAACATGAATACACACAAAAATAATAAATAAATCATGTTAATTTTTAAAGTTTTAAGGATGATAATTTCTCCACACACTTGTCAGTAGCTTTTGGACTCTTCTTTTTCTGATACAGACAGGAAACATTCCAACTTTTTACACACTCAAATAATATGTCAGTGTTTGTAAATTTATCATACCCTCACGACAAAATAAAGGACACAGGGAAGGAACACTGTTGCTCTCCCACACTGTCCTTAGAAAGACATGGTATATGTATCTCGCTGGACTCAAAACTTCTATGCCTAACGTTGCAATTCTCTTGAGAAAACGAACATTCCTTCCCATCAACTTCACCAGGGCCTGATCTCCTGATCACTGAGTTATGCCTTTTCAAATGTTGCCTTTGAATGAAATGGCTTTGTAGCTATTATTCTCCTTAAAAACCACACAACAGCAAAAAACAACAACAAAAAGAATATTTATAGTCCTGGCTGTCCTGGAACTTTCTGTAAACCACAATGGCCTTGAACTTATAGAGGTCTGCCAGCCTCTGCCTCCCAAGTACTGCGATTAAAGATGTTGTGGTTCACAGTTGGATTAGTGTACTACTTGTAAGTTGTACCCTCCAAAGGAATTCTGAACTCTAGATTTCTCACTTGGGCACCTCTTTTGTCTTTTTCACAGCAAGAGTTGTGACTTAGTACAAAATGTTCTGCCATTTAAAATTTGTTCAAATCCTGCAAATGCCTTTAACTTGAACTCAGAATTCAGTTTCATACATGACATTTCTCTAGACAGCCATGAAGACATCCAGGAACTTGGATATTCTTAGGAAACAGGATACAGTAGGAAGCTGAATAAAAAGACTCTACTAGATACCATGGTGTCCTGAACTCCACCCCAAGATTCATTACCATTCATTAATACCTTCCTAGTGAATTCCTGCCTGACAGTGTCATCTCCTGCCAGGGAGCTTTCAACTCAGATGAAAGCTAGATCAGAGGAGAGATAAAGGAATAGGAAATCCTCCAAAACTAGGTTCCCACCCTGAAGAGTTCAAGGAAGATGTTCCCACTCATTTTCTAAAATCCTCCTCTCTCTCTCTCCTGACCCAGAGAAGATCTTCTCATCCTATATTTATGTAAAAACTTGCTTGTCCAGTCCCTTCCCCTTCTGGTCCTCTGAACAACACTGAGGTCCAAGGCTCAGTGGTATATCAGCTTTTTCCATGATTCCCAGAGGGATAAGAAACAGTAGTTTGGAGTCAGTGAATAGAATCCTTTAATTTTATTCCTTTGCTTTCAAGTCACTTATGAGTTTATCTGCCATGTAAATCAAAAATTTATGCATGTAAAAATGTATGAATGTATTGTGTACATCATATGAGTGCAGTGCCCACAGAGGCCATAAGAAGGCATCTGATTCCCTAGAAGCAGAGTTACACACAGCTGTGAGCCACTCACTATATGGTCGCTGAGAACTGAATTTTGGCTCCTGGAAAGAGCATCCAGTGCTCTTAATAACTGAACCATCTCTCCAGCCACCAAAGAATATTCTTTTGCAACTCAGAGATTCATCTATGATGCCTTTGTGAGTCTGAATGTCTGTCAGTGGAATAGCAAGCTGTATTCCCAAACACCTGGGAATAGGCCTCTTTGTGTGGTTGAGATCTGGTGATAATCTGGTAGCTTCAGCTTGACTATATTAGTTAGCAAGCACGCTTCTCTTGATTTCCTTCAGTGAATTTAGGTGGAGCATCCTTTTAAACCTTGAAACATCTATAAATGAAAAGAGACAAAAGGCAGAATGCCACAACATGTAAGTGCTCAAAAGAAAAATCAAAACATGCAAAACATTAGTGTGCTGCTGTGAATCTAGGCACAGACCCATAACAGAATAGCTCTGTTGCTTGTTTTAATTTTGTGAGAAATTTTTTCAATTGCTATTATTGATATTAATTAAATTGTTCTCTGGCAGTTACAAACATGTATAATATGCACACTGATTAGTCTCACCTCTCACAATCCCTTGTTTCACTAAAACCAATGTCTACCTATCCCCTTCATCAAAATCTCTTTTCCACACTCATTTTTATTTGTTTTCATGTGTGACTCTAAGAGTTTAACCAGGGCTGTCCATGTGACCATGGATTTGGAGTTAGGCACTGGAGCCTGGTGGGCTCAACAATGGACACATAACTAAAAACAATGGCAATTCCTCTCCCAGAATTTATCAATAGCTATAGTTCAGCAATAAAGCCTTGGGTATCATGAGCCTCTCCTACATCCATCATTGATTATTCTTTATTAATTATAGCTTCTCTGAGTGATTTATAAAACACTGGATATCTTGGGACTTACACAGTAAATTTTATAGTATTTCTCCCTATCTTCTAGCTCTTACATTTATTCCTGCCCTTATTTTTCAATGTGCTCTGAGCCTTACAATTGGTTGTATAAATGCCTCCCTTAGTGCTGGGCTTATCGATCATTATGTATTATCAGCATCTTGGGCAGTCAAAGGACTGTGCATTCACTTCTAATGGCTGGAGAGAGGCTTGTCTGATGAAGGCTGAGAGAGAAGCTTTGGTATAAACATAGACATATACATAGTTAATTAAGCGATGTTTAGATAGTATTTAAATAATTTAAATAATTTAAACAACATCAAGTGTAAGTTCCTCCATCCTACTGTGACATTCCCAGACATGCTTGGTTGAATGTATTTAATACACCTGGCATGGAGACTTTACTCTGTAGTATGCATCTAAACTAAATAAAAGACACAAATACAAATTTCAGTGCTACATGGATGGAGAAATCTTGCCTGACAAATGGGTTTTGTAGTTTGTTTTCTTCACAGGTAAGAAAGGCTGTTGATAACCAACACTGCCACCACCAGCACCCCAGTAACATTGTGGCATTTCAAAATCTCAGCATAGAGACAAAGTTTCTAGCTCAGTTCCAGATAGATTTTTCTATAGTTTTTGACCATGGTGTGAGCTTTCTTCAGCGATATGGTCTTATTCTGTGTCTGATGGCCAGCCAAGAGTGCTAACAAGAGTTTGTGCTTATTGGGGGAAACTCTGCCTCAAAAAAGGTCGATGGCCAAGTGGTGGTGTCACACCCCTTTAATCCCAGCTGGAGGCAGAGGCAGGTGGATCTCTGTGAGTTCGAGACCAGCCTGGTCTACAGAGTGAGTTCCAGGACAGCCTCCAAAGCACAAGAAATCTTGTCTCAAAAAACAAAATCACAAAAAAAGAGGTAGATGGCATGTCTGATATAGATACCCAAGATTGTCCTCCAACCCCTGATCCACACACACAGACACAAATACATACGTATAGAAGTATGCATGCACGTGTGCATTAAAATATACAGGTAACAGATAGCAGAGGAGAACAGAGCCCCTTTTACTTTTGGCACTGAGAAACTGAGATATCTAATTGCACCACCCTGCACAAGATTATACTACATAATTAACCCTCATGCTAGGCAGATGCCAACTTAGAATGAAGCAGACTCCATTCAGGCCTCAAATAATTTCTTTTCTTCTAAGTGAATTTGTTTTTAATTCTTAGATTTGTGGCTTTAGATGGGAATGACTGTAGAAATCAGAGCAATAGAGAAGGAACAATGATGTAGAAGGTCCTTAAAAGACAGGGCACAGTAGAAAACATGCTATGTAAAAATCCAGAGGTAGACTATTATGGTGGAATTGTCTTAGGGGAGATTGGAGTGGGAGCATGGAGAAATGAACAGTGATGATGATCAAAACTGATAATGTGCTAAAAGCTTTTTGGAGACCTATTATTTTGTAAGGTAGGTGACAAATGTAATAAGGAGGCTCTGAACGGTAGTACCCTGCATGGATAGTTCAGCTCCCAGAAGCTATAGAAACTAAACTAAAATCCTAGTGCCACGTATGGGATACTATCCTATGAGAAGCCCACAGGTCTCCAAAACAATGCAAACTATTAGCATTTCTTCTGATTGAAAAACCAGACCCAGTTAGTAAGACCCTACAGGTGAAGACAGCATGTGATCTGGTTACATGACTTAGAGGTAAAAGACGCCAGTGCTGAACTGAGTGTTTGCTTCCTGCTAGTTAGCTGTAGTGTGACAGCAGGGTGATTCAAG